GTGTGCGTGCCGCGTGATGAATGTGCGGAACAAAACAGAGCACACGGCAGGGCAGCAGAAGCGCGCAAAAACACAAAATCTTACAAAAGCATAAGTCAATGGTTCACGTGTGTTGGTATATGAAAGTACATACATGTATATATACATACGTGTAACAATCCCCCACAGCGTGTGGGCAAGTGTTTTTCGCCGCGAATGGAGAAGACAAGGTACTCACAATCGCCCCACATCACGCACAGAAAAGTATTTTAACAATTCCCCACCACAAAGACCCTTCGCAGCGGTGAAAAGCGGTGGCTATTTTTAGTTTATTTTTAGCTGTTTCTTTTTTTTACAGCAGAATCACAAAAGAAAAAAAAAAAAGGAAGAGCTTAGAAGAAGTGGAACTCACCGCGCTGGGCAGCACGCAATTGCCTCGGTTATGCCGCCTAGCACGATAAGAAGCCGGAAACGGATGCCACGGCAGCAAGCATCAGAAGCGGTGCACGCAAAAGCAATGGGATGCCGCCGCCATCCACCCGTGGTCTCGTCCTTTGAAAGCGGGTGGATGTGGAATTCCTGCCAGGCGCTGCGTCATTCCCCTTCTTCGCAGCAAATTTATTCATCACCTCAGCAACGGCAGCCTTCTTCGCGGCCTCCGCCACCTCCCGGTCACTCGCTCTTCGCCTCTCCTCCTCCTTCTCCCGCTGCCGCAGCAGCGCACTGGCCGTTGCGGCAACATCTTGTGCCAAGGTCCGCGCCGCTGCTGCCTTCTCTGCTGCTTCCCGGGTTTTCTGCGCCGCCGCTGCCGCCTTCTCAGCCTCCGCCTCCGCCTCCTTTGCCTTCTCCAGAGAAAGCACAGTCTGCTCCGCCGCCCTCTTCAACAGCTCCGGTCCACTTCCAACCTTAGTCTTCTCGTCCTTCACATGCTTCAGCACCTCCCCAACGGCATCAAGCGTCATTATCCCCGCCGCCTGTGCAGCCTCCTCCGCCGCCTTGCATTCGGCCACGGCAGCATCGGCCAATTTCACAGCCTCGTCCGCTTGCTGCAGCGCCCTGCTCATCCTTGTAGCCTCAGAGCCGAGCTTCCTCAAAGCATTCTTGGCCCCCTCTTCATGCTCCCGCGCATTCTCAGCGCTCATTCTTGCTTGCACGCAGTGCCGGTTAGCCTCATCAGCGTACTCCTGCGCCTTCTGCATGGCTCCCAACACCTCTCTCAACGCCCCCCTCATATCAGCCGGTGGCGCCATAGCACTGGCATTCTCAGTGGTATTAGTAGCTGTATCATCCGCCGCACACACGGAATTAGGAAAGCAGCAGCAGAGCGCAAAAAAAAGCAGGGCACACAAGAAAGGGTGCATCATCATCACCGCCAGCGTCGCAAAAAATGGACTTGCTTAACACTGTGAAGCCAACCTTTGACGGCATGAGAGAGCAAGGAGAAACACGGCCACTACTCCAAACACACAGCAAACGCACAACAGCAAACAGCAGGAGCACACACGCCCACCATGAGGCTGATGGAGTCAGCAGAAAGGCAAAAGAGGATCATATCCCCTTAAACTACCTTATTTTATTCTCAAAACAAACCCAATGGCCTCAACTGCATCTGCACAAATCCACAACTATGCGTAAACGCAAAAAGTCGTATGCGTTTCATGCAAAAGCGCTTTTCTCGGAAGCCTGCCATGTGACGAATGTTCTAAAAAACATAGAGCACAAGAATAAACAAAAAAAAAACTATCATTATCTCTGCAAAATAAAAAAAAAAAGAATCATCATTTGCCTTATTTTATACATGTTCCCACAAGAGAAGCGCACAAGTCCCCGTGGATGAATGACGGCAGGCACAGCCCCCATACACATCTTTAGCCCAGACCGATGTACGCAAAAAGGAAATGGCCAGCAGCAGATGGACACACAGACAAGCAGAGCTGCTTTATCGCAAATCAAATTAATGAACATATGGAGGTGCCTTCGTGGTGGACGTCGATGGTGCCATTGTTGTCGTCGTGGACGTGGTTGGCGCCTTCGTGGTGGTCGTCGTTGGTGTCATTGTTGTCGTCGTAGTCGTGGTTGGCACCTTCGTGGTGGTCGTCGTTGGCACCTTCGTGGTGGTCGTCGTTGGTGCCATTGTTGTCGTGGTCGTGGACGTGGTTGGCGCCTTCGTGGTGATCGTCGTTGGTGCCATTGTTGTCGTCGTGGTCGTGGTTGGCGCCTTCGTGGTGATCGTCGTTGGCTCCATTGTTGTGATCGTGGTTGGCTCCTTCGTGGTGATCGTGGTTGGCTCCATTGTTGTGATCGTGGTTGGCTCCTTCGTGGTGATCGTCGTTGGCACCTTCGTGGTGGTCGTCGTTGGTGCCATTGTTGTCGTCGTGGTCGTGGTTGGCACCTTCGTGGTGGTCGTCGTTGGTGTCATTGTTGTCGTCGTGGTCGTGGTTGGCACCTTCGTGGTGATCGTCGTTGGTGCCATTGTTGTCGTCGTGGTCGTGGTTGGCGCCTTCGTGGTGATCGTCGTTGGTGCCATTGTTGTCGTCGTCGTCGTGGTTGGCACCTTCGTGGTGGTCGTCGTTGGTGCCATTGTTGTCGTTGTGGTCGTGGTTGGCACCTTCGTGGTGGTCGTCGTTGGTGCCATTGTTGTCGTGGTCGTGGACGTGGTTGGCGCCTTCGTGGTGGTCGTCGTTGGTGTCATTGTTGTCGTCGTGGTCGTGGTTGGCGCCTTCGTGGTGATCGTAGTTGGCTCCATTGTTGTGATCGTAGTTGGTACCTTCGTGGTGATCGTGGTTGGCTCCATTGTTGTGATCGTCGTTGGCGCCTTCGTGGTGATCGTGGTTGGCTCCATTGTTGTGATCGTAGTTGGTACCTTCGTGGTGATCGTGGTTGGCTCCATTGTTGTGATCGTAGTTGGCACCTTCGTGGTGATCGTCGTTGGTGCCATTGTTGTCGTCGTGGTCGTGGTTGGCGCCTTCGTGGTGATCGTCGTTGGTGCCATTGTTGTCGTGGTCGTGGACGTGGTTGGCGCCTTCGTGGTGATCGTCGTTGGTGCCATTGTTGTCGTCGTGGTCGTGGTTGGCACCTTCGTGGTGATCGTCGTTGGTGCCATTGTTGTCGTGGTCGTGGACGTGGTTGGCACCTTCGTGGTGATCGTCGTTGGTGCCATTGTTGTCGTGGTCGTGGACGTGGTTGGCGCCTTCGTGGTGATCGTGGTTGGCTCCATTGTTGTGATCGTGGTCGGCGCCTTCGTGGTGATCGTCGTTGGCACCTTCGTGGTGATCGTCGTTGGTGCCATTGTTGTCGTCGTGGTCGTGGTTGGCACCTTCGTGGTGGTCGTCGTTGGTGCCATTGTTGTGATCGTGGTTGGCGCCTTCGTGGTGATCGTCGTTGGTACCTTCGTGGTGATCGTGGTTGGCTCCATTGTTGTGATCGTAGTTGGCACCTTCGTGGTGATCGTGGTTGGCTCCATTGTTGTGATCGTAGTTGGTACCTTCGTGGTGATCGTGGTTGGCTCCATTGTTGTGATCGTGGTCGGCGCCTTCGTGGTGATCGTGGTTGGCACCTTCGTGGTGATCGTGGTTGGCTCCATTGTTGTGATCGTAGTTGGCACCTTCGTGGTGATCGTGGTTGGCTCCATTGTTGTGATCGTAGTTGGTACCTTCGTGGTGATCGTGGTTGGCTCCATTGTTGTGATCGTGGTCGGCGCCTTCGTGGTGATCGTGGTTGGCACCTTCGTGGTGGTCGTCGTTGGTGCCATTGTTGTGATCGTAGTTGGCGCCTTCGTGGTGATCGTCGTTGGTGCCATTGTTGTCGTGGTCGTGGACGTGGTTGGCGCCTTCGTGGTGATCGTGGTTGGCGCCTTCGTGGTGATCGTGGTCGGCGCCTTCGTGGTGATCGTCGTTGGTGCCATTGTTGTGATCGTAGTTGGCGTCTTCGTGGTGATCTTGGTTGGCGCCTTCGTGGTGATCGTGGTTGGCTCCATTGTTGTGATCGTAGTTGGTACCTTCGTGGTGATCGTGGTTGGCGCCTTCGTGGTGATCGTGGTTGGCGCCTTCGTGGTGATCGTGGTTGGCTCCATTGTTGTGATCGTAGTTGGTACCTTCGTGGTGATCGTGGTTGGCTCCATTGTTGTGATCGTCGTTGGCGCCTTCGTGGTGATCGTGGTTGGCTCCATTGTTGTGATCGTAGTTGGTACCTTCGTGGTGATCGTGGTTGGCTCCATTGTTGTGATCGTGGTTGGCGCCTTCGTGGTGATCGTGGTTGGCTCCATTGTTGTGATCGTAGTTGGCACCTTCGTGGTGATCGTGGTTGGCTCCATTGTTGTGATCGTGGTTGGCGCCTTCGTGGTGATCGTGGTTGGCTCCATTGTTGTGATCGTGGTTGGCGCCTTCGTGGTGATCGTGGTTGGCTCCATTGTTGTGATCGTAGTTGGCACCTTCGTGGTGATCGTCGTTGGTGCCATTGTTGTCGTCGTGGTCGTGGTTGGCGCCTTCGTGGTGATCGTCGTTGGTGCCATTGTTGTCGTGGTCGTGGACGTGGTTGGCGCCTTCGTGGTGATCGTCGTTGGTGCCATTGTTGTCGTGGTCGTGGACGTGGTTGGCACCTTCGTGGTGATCGTCGTTGGTGCCATTGTTGTCGTCGTGGTCGTGGTTGGCACCTTCGTGGTGGTCGTCGTTGGTGCCATTGTTGTGATCGTAGTTGGCGTCTTCGTGGTGATCGTCGTTGGTACCTTCGTGGTGATCGTGGTTGGCGCCTTCGTGGTGATCGTGGTTGGCGCCTTCGTGGTGATCGTGGTTGGCTCCATTGTTGTGATCGTAGTTGGTACCTTCGTGGTGATCGTGGTTGGCTCCATTGTTGTGATCGTCGTTGGCGCCTTCGTGGTGATCGTGGTTGGCTCCATTGTTGTGATCGTAGTTGGCACCTTCGTGGTGATCGTGGTTGGCTCCATTGTTGTGATCGTGGTTGGCGCCTTCGTGGTGATCGTGGTTGGCTCCATTGTTGTGATCGTGGTTGGCGCCTTCGTGGTGATCGTGGTTGGCTCCATTGTTGTGATCGTAGTTGGCACCTTCGTGGTGATCGTCGTTGGTGCCATTGTTGTCGTCGTGGTCGTGGTTGGCGCCTTCGTGGTGATCGTGGTTGGCTCCATTGTTGTGATCGTAGTTGGCACCTTCGTGGTGATCGTGGTTGGCTCCATTGTTGTGATCGTAGTTGGTACCTTCGTGGTGATCGTG